TCGAACTTAAGCTAAAAGAATCCTTTAGGAGTCAGGAATCGCGGGAAGAACTAAAAGCCATAAATGAAATCGAAAGAAACCCAAAGTATTTCTTCTCCTATGCCAAATCAAAATCGAGAACAACGTCCAGTATTGGGCCCCTACTTAAACAAGATGGGTCCTACACAGATGACAGCAAGGAAATGAGTGAGCTACTCAAGTCCCAATATGACTCAGTTTTTAGCAAGCCGCTAACCAGACTGAGAGTCGAAGACCAAAATGAATTTTTTATGAGAGAGCCACAAAATTTGACTAACACAAGCCTATCCGATGTTATCCTGACGCCAAATGACTTCGAACAGGCGATAAATGACATGCCCATGCACTCTGCCCCAGGGCCAGACTCATGGAACTCTGTGTTCATCAAGAACTGCAAGAAGCCCCTATCACGAGCCTTTTCCATCCTATGGAGAGGGAGCATGGACACGGGGGTCGTCCCTCAGTTACTAAAAACAACAGACATAGCCCCACTCCACAAAGGGGCAGTAAAGCAACAGCAAAGAACTACAGACCAATAGCACTAACATCCCATATCATAAAAATCTTTGAAAGGGTCCTAAGAAGCAAGATCACCACCCATCTAGAAACCCATCAGTTACACAACCCAGGGCAACATGGGTTTAGAACAGGTCGCTCCTGTCTGTCTCAACTACTGGATCACTACGACAAGGTCCTAAATGCACTAGAAGACAAAAAGAATGCAGATGTAATATATACAGACTTTGCAAAAGCCTTCGACAAGTGTGACCATGGCGTAATAGCGCACAAAATGCGCGCTAAAGGAATAACAGGAAAAGTCGGTCGATGGATCTATAATTTCCTCACTAACAGAACACAGAGAGTAGTCGTCAACAGAGTAAAGTCCGAGGCAGCTACGGTGAAAAGCTCTGTCCCACAAGGCACAGTACTAGCTCCCATCTTGTTCCTCATCCTCATATCCGACATAGACAAGGATGTCAGCCACAGCACCGTGTCTTCCTTTGCAGATGACACCCGAATCTGCATGACAGTGTCTTCCATTGCAGACACTGAAAGGCTCCAGGCGGACATCAACCAAATCTTTCAGTGGGCTGCAGAAAACAATATGAAGTTCAACGATGAGAAATTTCAATTACTCAGATATGGTAAACATGAGGAAATTAAATCTTCATCAGAGTACAAAACAAATTCTGGCCACAAAATAGAGCGAAACACCAACGTCAAAGACCTAGGAGTGATTATGTCGGAGGATCTCACCTTCAAGGACCATAACATTGTATCAATCGCATCTGCTAGAAAAATGACAGGATGGATAATGAGAACCTTCAAAACTAGGGAGGCCAAGCCCATGATGACACTCTTCAGGTCACTTGTTCTATCTAGGCTGGAATATTGCTGCACTCTAACAGCACCTTTCAAGGCAGGTGAAATTGCCGACCTAGAAAATGTACAGAGAACTTTCACGGCGCGCATAACGGAGATAAAACACCTCAATTACTGGGAGCGCTTGAGGTTTCTAAACCTGTATTCCCTGGAACGCAGGAGGGAGAGATACATGATTATATACACCTGGAAAATCCTAGAGGGACTAGTACCAAACTTGCACACGAAAATCACTCACTACGAAAGCAAAAGACTTGGCAGACGATGCACCATCCCCCCAATGAAAAGCAGGGGTGTCACTAGCACGTTAAGAGACCATACAATAAGTGTCAGGGGCCCGAGACTGTTCAACTGCCTCCCAGCACACATAAGGGGGATTACCAACAGACCCCTGGCAGTCTTCAAGCTGGCACTGGACAAGCAACTAAAGTCAGTTCCTGATCAGCCGGGCTGTGGCTCGTACGTTGGTTTGCGTGCAGCCAGCAGCAACAGCCTGGTTGATCAGGCGCTGATCCACCAGGAGGCCTGGTCACAGACCGGGCCGCGGGGGCGTTGACCCCCGAAACTCTCTCCAGGTAAACTCCAGGTAGCATAAGGGAGACCTGCCTCTTTGAGGCAATGGATTTCTCTCTCATTTAAGTAGACCTGGCAAAGGCGAGAGTATGAAGGGTGAGCCTCATGACAATTAAGGCAAGAGGGAGGGCGACTACAAGACGTATTAGAATGGTCATTGGCACCGCAGACTGGGCATTCGGCCATAGATCTGCAATATTTTGCTGGGTGACCAAATTGCCAGCAATTTCTACACTGTTGCGGTGTAGGGATCACCTTTCGAACTTGTAACCGATATCCTGCTACATAAACAGAGGATGGGAGTTCATGGCTGTCAAAAGTTAATTGAGCCACATTGCAAGGGTAGCGTCTCTGCCCGCGGGCAGGAAGAACATAAGTGTCTACCTTGAGGATTGGGAGATCTTGGAGTTCCAGCTGTTCGAGAATGTCATTGCCACATGTCTGGAAATTCTGTTGGACTACTGTATGGGGCACAGTGACAGTACCACTACAAGTATTGAGGGAATGATGTTTTTTGATAGTGACAGGAATAGTATCTATATGTGAAAGAGCTGTATAGTCCTTGTGGCTTAGCGCTTCTTTTTGATTATAATAATAATAATATATGTGAAAGAAGAGAAAGATCATGAGCTTGGGTAACATTCTGAACAGTGATGATGCACGTACCACTCTTAAGAGCATGAAAAAAAATATCTCTACCAACATAGTATAGGAGCACTTTGCCAATACTATGGTCGGAAAGATAGGCAATAGAGGAAGTTGGTTGTAAAGTAAAGAATTTAGTTCATTGTGCATTCCGAAACTGAGCATGGAAAGGGAGCGCATGATGTGTCGATCTTTTCCGAGTAGAACGAGAAGGTGGCGAGGTATCATCATCAGGCAATTGTCGTTGGTGTTTAGGAGTGGGACCAGAGTTGGTTCGACGTGGGACGGGCTGGCGATTCAAAAATTGCCGCACTGTAGAGGGAGAGGCCGGAAACATAGTCAAAGGAGAGAGAAGGTCAGACAAATCGAAGGAGTCAGTCAAAACCCCGGTACCTGAAGCAGGTGATAAAATGGCACCAGCAAGAGATACAGGGGCATCAGGAGTGGCCAAAGAGTGGTCAAAAAACGAGGCAGGGTCAGAATGGGGTGCGGTATCAAGGAGGGGCCTGGGGGTAGCAGGTTCATGGACTAGGGTTTCCATGGTTAGGTTACTTCCTTCTTTTTGTTTTTAAGAAAAAAAAAGAAAACAGAAAAGAAAATAAAAAGAAAAAAAGAATAAAGAAAGGGGGGACTGGGGAGGAATAGTTCCTAGGAGGAATGAAAGTGCCAGAAATCTCCCTCCGTGCCCAAGAGGACCTCAGCACCGCAAGTAGCGCAGATTCAGCATGGAACCCGTGCCATACCCTATCCTTCATGCCAGTAAACCAGCAATCCGGGATAGCAACCTCACATCTGCCGAGCTGCCTTGGTGGACAAAAGAGAGGGTGGCCGGATATCCACCACAAAGCATACCTCCTTTGGCCACCACCCCCGGAATCTGAAAGGCAGCCTCCAGAGATACACCCGTCGCCCGAAAGACACCCAAAGCCACCCCCTGGGAGACCAGAGAGGGATTGGGACATCCCCAGGCGATCCAGATTCCACGGCAAACTACACGACCGCCAAAAACCTCAATGGAATGGGATGGACCCTGGTACCCTTTCCCCTACCTAGAAACTAGCGTGCCTGTGGGAAAAATCCCAAAGGCCAAAAAGAGGAAGGGCAAGAAGGAGTGGGGAGGAGGAGTACGAGGAAAGGAAAAAGGGAGGATGGGATAGGAAAGGGGGAATTGGGGGGTAATTAGGTTCGGTCTGAGGAAGGAGACAAACAGGTCTAATTCCTCAGACCAAGAGCCTCTTCACCACGACAAGGAGCCCCCCTTGAAGAGGATATGACCTATAGCCCTGCTGGTCAGGTACTGTCTTTAGGGGTCTGTCCAGCTCCCTCTTGAAAACAGCCTGGGGTCTCTTGGTAATCCCTCTTATGTATGTTCTGAGGCAGTTGAACAATCTTGGGCCCCTGACACTTATTGTGTTATCTCTTAGCAGACTCATGGAGCCCCTGCTTTTGATTGGGGGAGGGGATATTGTATCCCCCTGCCGAGTTATTACATGAGAAGCACTTTAATGAAATTAGCAAATCGAAATTTACAGCTCATAATGCTCAATTCTTGTTTTAGTAATGCCCACTAACAGAAAAAGTTTGAAGCCAATCAGAAAAGGTATTCTCTAGTTACTGATTTCCCTTTGATTATAATAATAATAATAATAATCTAGTTACTGATCTGATTTCAATAATAGTTTTTTTAACAATTGGATTTTTCGTTATCGAGTCAACAGCGGCCTAGTCATTTTGATCTTCAATAAATCGTTTCAAGTCACTGGTTCATTGGCTGGTAACATTGTCATGCTGAATAGGTAAATATTGGTCAGTTAGCAAGAACTCATTTAAAATAAAGTCATACCAAAAAATTTGTCTTATATGTTTAAAGATCTTTTTTTCATTTATGTTTATGTAAAAATTAATAATTTTGTACCAAAAGAACCTTAGTAAACTTACCTAACCTTATTATAACAAGCGTAATTTAATTTATCCTAATCCAGCTAAATATATTTTAGATAAGTTTACAATAAAATCATTTGTAGATTTCTTGAAAACAGTTTTTACAGCAAATATTTGAATTTTCGTAGGGTATATTTTGGAAACCACGGAACGGGTGGGGTTTGAACCCATGGCAAATGGGTTCAATGGGGAGCGCTAAACCTGTAGGATTATACAGCGCATGTGGAGGGGATGAAAGGTATTCAGGCTCAATTCAGGGAACTGGAGCACAAATCCAATTCCCTAGATCGAGAGCCCCTCAACCAGCATCAAGGAACCTCCCTTGAGGAGGAAATGAGTCCTGAAACTCTAGGAAAGTTTATCCCGGAATGTGGGCAGTCCGTCGTTTTCTGTAAGGGGAGAAGAGGATACTGGGCAGGGAGTTCAGTCAGTAGTTTGTCATGGTTACTGGTAGTGTACGACTGTGGTGGTGACTGGTAGTGTACGACTGTGGTGGTGACTGGTAGTGTCCGGCTGTAGTGATAGTATTTTATTTGTAAGGGAAAGAAAACATGAAAAATTGCTGATGCGGGTCACTATCACATGATGGCTCAGTAGTAGAGCTTTTCATCATATGAGCGAGGCTCTCTAGTTCAACTTGTAAAGCATAAAATGAAAATCACGACATGACAGAACCTCCACTCTATATGAAAATGCACACCACAGTGGTAACAGAATGAGCGCCACGACTCTGGTAGATGCATCTCAGTGCTGATCTTGTACATAAATTTCAAACATTGGAGTTTATAATGTCACGTGATCTACACTCGATGAGAAAGTATCACAACACATGGGCGTAAAAGATATAAAATGTAAATAAGTTGTAAAACACAGAGACCTTATTAAGATAACATAAGAATGTAGGAACACTGAGCAGACCTACTGGCCCATGCAAGACAATTTTCTTTTTTTCAAGTCTACAAAGTACATGTGAAACGTGAGAATGTATATAGTGAGGATGGAAGGAGAGGTGCAGGTGACCTGATCTGAACATTTATCCTCATATCTGTATGATGGTGAAGATCAAAATTTTACTAGCATACTCTACTCTGTGTCCTTCCTGTGGCTATGGAACACGGAGCCGTAAGTTTGAGGTTAATCCTCAAAATAATATACCGTAAGCAGTTGTGGAAAAAAAGTAATTTTTCCTCCCAGAAATATTCTTGTCTCTGTCTCCTCACTAACTGTCGTAGTGTGTAATAGTGTTCCTAGAAACAAGAGGCTGACTAGAGGTCCTGACAGCATTAAACTTCTCTGAAATTGGTTGTAAATTATGATACCTGTAAGCTGTTAATAAGGACATTTATTAAAGGACATGTTTCGCCACTGATGAAGCCAACGGTGGCGAATCATTTAATAAGCACCCTGAACTGTTACAAGTATCATCATTTCCGGGAATGATGATACTTATGAATATTATACGTGCTTTGATCTCCCTAACACCACAGGGATAGGCAGCTGAGCAACTGGTATCATTTAGTGCAATGCCATGACCAGACCAAGAAACAAGCAAGTATATTTTAAAATATATTTCTACTTATAACTTATTACAATTGTGACCAGGTGTGGACGTGTGAATGACCCATTACTTTGTAATGTGTTCATGATTGTAACCATGTATAGAAGTGTAGATGATTCATTGCCTTTGTAACTTGTCATGATTATGACCAATCAAAAATTTGGGATCCAGTCCCTGGATCCATTATGTACCTGTAATCTTTTGACTACCGCCCAGCTTCATCAACAAGGCATCTCCAGGTGTTTAATTGAATTTAATACCGGGTAAGACTACATTCAACACCAACAGCAATTATTATTCTTATGAGAATTAGAAGGCTCTACATCATTATGTTAATAATAATGATAATAATAATAATAAATAATTAAATTAGAATGTCACCAAATGCTGAAAAAAATGTGTATGGTATGGGTATTCTTTACATTCAGGTATTACATTTATTATCAGCAAGGCATATGGAAACTGAGAAGTGTTTATCTCTTTGAGGTGACTTCATTACCTACGCGCAGTAGATGGGTTTCAAACCCAGTTTTACAAATTAAACACCTGTTAAGTGGGGGAAGTGACTTAATGCCGGTGAAAGGCTTTTAATCCACCGAACTGGAACTGTCTCTCCTTGAATCATCTTAAGAGGAGCATTACAGTAGGCCTACAGACCCATTCCCAGGCGCGGTATAATCCTTACTGGCTCAGCGCTTGCTTATAACTGTATACAATATTTATATTTAGGTCAGTTGAAGCATTCAAGTTAATGGTGGGGGTGAATGGGTGCTTTGGGCGGATGGTAACTCGGCTACAGGAAGGTCCTGATGGTAGTGGTGGTGCTTCAAACGTCAAGAAACAAGGCAGAGTTGGTTGATAGGTTTATTAGATTTAGAGCTTGTTGACTACACGAGGCTTTATGACGCCTACTGGCCCATGCTAGACTAGATTAAGAGCACCTTGGAAGAAGTTCAATCATGGTGGAGGTGACCGAGTCTGATCATGGCACCGTGCAGGAAGTTTGACTGATGGAAGTATAGGAGTTGAGTTTAGTTAGCGTGGATCAGTGAGAGGTGGAGTGGTACACTAGATCAGTGGGAGGTGGAGTGGTACACTGGAGCAGTGGGAGGTTGAGTGGTACACTGGAGCAGTGCGAGGTTGAGTGGTACACTGGAGCAGTGCGAGGTTGAGGGGTACACTGGAGCAGTGGGGTGCAACAGGAAGACACAATTATTGCTACTTACTACCCACTGCACCAGTGTCACCATCCTCGCCTCATCTTCCTCCATTAATTCTCTTACCAGATGCTCAACGTTAATTTTTTAATGCTCCATATTAACCTAAAAAAAATATTTTCTTTAAGTCAAGTTGTTAGGCTAGCCTTAATTGCGTTAGGCTGGACTGGGTTAGATTAGGTTACACTGCGTTAGGCTGGACTGGGTTAGGTTAGGTTGGGTTTAACAAAAGTGGCGGTACATGGTATTGGAGAAAATTTCTCTCGTGGATCGACACATGGCTGACTAATATGAAGCAAAGCGTTTGCATGAATGAGGTGAAATTAGAATAAGCCCATACTGGATCACAAGGAAGCTCCACAAGGATAAATTTTGGGCCCCCTTATTGTTCATAATTTACATGACTAACATAAGAATGGAGGTGTATTCCCTATGTTAGGGAATAAAAACTGATGAATAAATTTACTGACGATATAATTCCGAATAATCAATTCGGAGGAGGATTCCACTGAATTTCAGAAAGATTAGGACAGGCTAAGGTTGTGGTCCGATAAGTAGTATATAACAACAAGAAACACGATTGAATACATAGTGGCTAAAATGGGTTCAAAAGGTGTACAGCGGGTGTAGAGGTGAAGTCGATGCAACAATGGTATGTTACTAATGGTGTCAGGTTTAGTGTGAATTAGTTTAGCTAATATTTCTGGTAATGCGAATGACCCTTAATTTGGTGTAATAGTTTTGGTTTTGGCGATCAATGCTGAAGCTAAAAAAACAAGTCCTGCCTCGCCTGTCTGCTTCCTTCATTACTAGTTTGGCTTCGGGGAAGTTCGTCAATTGTTCGTGATGTTACAGTGTGCTGTGCAAGCGTTGTTCATGCCATGCCTCTGGCAAGCATATCTTCTACAGCTCTACACATCATTGGTAAGGCCTTATTTAAATTATGTCGAACTTAAGCTAAAGGAATCTTATAGGAGTCAGGAATCGCGGGAAGAACTAAAAGCCATAAATGAAATCGAAAGAAACCCAAAGTATTTCTTCTCCTTTGCCAAATCAAAGTCGAGAACAACGTCCAGTATTGGGCCCCTACTTAAACAAGATGGGTCCTACACAGATGACAGCAAGGAAATGAGTGAGCTACTCAAGTCCTAATATGACTCAGTTTTTAGCTAGCCACTAACCAGTCTGAGAGTCGAAGATCAAAATGATTTTTTTATGAGAGAGCCACAGAATTTGGTTAACACAAGCCTATCTGATGTTATCCTGACGCCAAATGACTTCGAACAGGCTATAAATGACATGCCCATGCACTCTGCCCCAGGGCCAGACTCATGGAACTCCGTGTTCATCAAGAACTGCAAGAAGCCCCTATCACGAGCCTTTACCATCCTATGGCAACTACCCGAACACACTGTTCCTAGCTCCGACTAACCCATACGAAGTCTCCCTTATTATCAACGCACTGAAAAACAAGGCAGGAGATTTAAATACCTTACCACCCTTTATATACAAAAAAGCGTCACAAGTACTATCACCAATCATTGCAACACTCTTTAACAAATCCATTGAATCCTCCACCTTCCCTACAGTTCTCAAAATAGCAAGGGTCACCCCGATCCATAAAGGAGGAGACCAAACAGAGTTGAATAACTACAGGCCAATATCCAATTTACACACCTCTCTCAAAAATCTTCGAAAAATTAATTCATAAACGAATCTACTCCTACCTCATCTCCCATAACATTCTCAACCCCTGCCAATTTGGATTCAGGCCTAATAAAAATACTAATGATGCTATTATACACATGCTTGAACATATATACACTGCAATAGAGAAAAAAGAAGTCCCACTGGGGATCTTCATTGACTTACGTAAAGCTTTTGATACAGTTGACCATGACTTGCTCCACGTAAAATTGTCACACTATGGTATTAGAGGGCACTCCCTCAACTACCTCAAGTCTTACCTCAGCAACAGAAGCCAATATGTGTACGCAAATGGGGCAAGCTCTTCCGCACAACCAATTACAGTTGGTATCCCACAGGGAAGTGTCCTTGGCCCTCTTCTCTTTCTCCTATACATAAATGACCTACCAAATGCTTCGCAATTACTCAAACCCACACTATTTGCAGATGACACCACATACGTCTTCTCTCACCCGAGCCCAGTCACGCTAGCCAATACTGTAAACACCGAATTACAGAAAATATCTACCTGGATGAGGACTAACAAACTTACACTAAACATTGACAAAACCTACTTCATTCAGTTTGGTAGCAGAGCTACAGACGTACCTCTTAACATAACGATAAACGGATCACCTATCACAAAGCTAACAGAGGGAAAATTCTTAGGAATCCACCTCGATAATAGACTCAAATTTCATACACATATACAACAAATTTCTAAGAAAATTTCCAAGACTGTAGGCATACTATCGAAGATACGGTACTATGTTCCACAGTCAGCCCTCCTGGCCCTTTATCACTCTCTTATTTACCCCTATCTCACCTATGGAATTTGTGCATGGGGCTCAACAACAACTAACCATCTCAGACCACTAATTACCCAACAAAAGGCTGCAGTTAGAATGATAACAAATTCTCACTACAGGCAGCACACTCCACCAATATTCAAAACACTCAACCTACTCACCATACAAAACATCCATACTTATTATTGCACTTATTACATACATAGAACACTTAACTCTGATATTAACCCTC